GGTCGCGCAGCTGCTGCAGACCGGAGACCGGAGCTCCGCGGTGGAAGCGGAGGTGGACTGGCAAAGCTGGGAGCGGAACGATGTGAAGGAGCCACTTCAGCAGCTTGGTGGAAGCTGAAAAACGACCAGTGGGAGCTGAAGCTTCGATGATGTATCTACCCCCTAGAGCTGATGCAGGTGAAGATTCTGGCCTTTTTGGATAGACCCATGTGAGAGGAGGGTGGTGTCGCTTGATTGTCAGGTCATGTGAGGTCATGTATGTCATATATATATGTTCCTTCACGATGCCATGTGTGAATTACCATGATCGTGTATACTCGACAGCCAGAGATATAGGTGTTGCAATAATAGTGACCGTCCTTTTCACTGGCAAGAATTGAAAGCGCTGATCGAAATGTGGCCAGGAGATCTATGATTTAATATGAATTATATAACAATATATAACAAATGTTTTACTACTATGAGTGTTGGATCTCCTTGAGAAGACTTGGAATTCGCATGTGTTGGTCTTATAATGTGTCTTATACATAGTTAATGATATTATAGATTATCTAAATATATGTTTGCAAGGCGAACACCTCGGCAACTCTGAGAAGCTATGTCACCTCGGCCCTTTCCACCCACTTCAAGGTCCAGCCCCACAAAGTAAGCCTCTTCAATTCATCATAGCACGGAATCAAAGGAATCCACAAGGTTTGTACAATATGTTTGTCAACCATTCAACCTCAGAGATCCTAGAGATCCTGGCAGTGACTTGACAGGCACAACATGTGCGATAGATTGTGATGAGGTCTACAGCCGTTCTTATCAAAAGTACACCCGCAGCATGATGTTCAGGAAGACACCAGAAACTCCGGAGGGGCTTCAATTCGAGGGCGGGCCGTCGTAGGTGGAAGATGGCACAGGGGAATTGGACAGGTCCCATATAAACCAAACGTTCTCGTGAGAAACAATAAGCTACTACTCGTAGCTACTAGGGGCTCCTGGCATCGCTACTAGGAGCAAGGACGCTACTAGGGGCTCCTGGCCGTACTTCTAGTGACAAGGACGCTACCAGGAGCTTTTTCTTGTGATTTACTCCAATTGTGACCCGACATGATAGGTATAATAGCTTTATTCCATACATGGATGGTCCGGGGTGGTCACCTGTCCTGGACTGATCGCCGTTTCAATTCCAGTCTTTCTGTTTGCGAAAGACCCATGTGTCAAAGATCGCGACCAATTGCTATCCTGAACAGGTCCAGTTCCAGATCGACCAGGCTCCTGGAAATTCCACCTCCAAAATCCTCAGGTACCCGGACCAAAGGCCGGCACATACCAGCTGCTTCCGTTCGGGGTTACCTGGCTGGACAACCCGACACTGCTGAAAAAGGTCACCAGACAGGACACCCATTGGAAGCGCTAGGTATATCTTTGGACCGCGTTGCGGCGCCTCTTGCCCCGCCCCGAGGAAGGATTCGCTGGAGAGGCGCGGTATTCTGTGAGCTGGAGTGACTGCGGTGTCTCCAAGTGGGGCCAGGACAGATTTCTTCAATTTTTGGTGCATCGTTAAGGGTTAGGTTATCAACCAGTAAGGAAGGGCAAGAAATGAGCACCATTTTTGGAGATGTCGTCCTGCCACCTATAAGCATCATCGTCCACTGGGCTTTGATATTGGGATACCCACTTCTTGGAGAATCAACGCTGGGAGCAATGGGTCTTGAGGATCAAGAAGTAGATGAAATTGGGCCTGCAATCATCATCTCAATGCTCATGGGGCTCGGCCGCCATCAGCTCCTTCTGCCCCATTCCCTCAGCAAAGGTCCAACACCACCCGCGCCCGCTCGAGGCCACCTCGCCGTCCAGAGGCCGAGGTCCGTGCAGAGGCCGAGTCTCACGGTCTCACGGGACCTGGGGGCAGAAGTAGACGATGACGATGACGGTGATGGTGATGACGATGTGCATTTGTGTGTGTGTGTGTGGGTGTGTGGGGGGGGGGATGGGTGCAGCTGAAGCCGATATAGAATGATATGAACATTTTGCTTCAAGAAGGTTCTTCGGGAAAAAGGAGAAGAGAGCATTCGTATGTGGATGAACTTGTTCTGGGATATTGATGTGAGATTCTCAAAGTTCTGTAGTGTATTTTTTTATTTTTCAATTAGTCTTCACGTTCTTTTGAAGTGACTGTTTCAGCCGCCCCGAGACTGCAAGAGTTCTGAAACTTTTCTAACTATGTGTTTCTCAATTCTGTGACACATCTCCAACACACTGCGCAGTCTCTCAACCTTCAGGGCTGCTCTTGAGTATGCAGAAAAATATAACTGACGTGCACGGTGAGCAATTTAAGCTGCGCCAACTTCAGCATGGCCACAGGGCAGAGTAGATTCCCCACAAAAAGGGAACAATTTTGCCATTTGCTATCTCATGGCGGCCATGGGCAGCCATCCTGAAAATATGTGTGCGCTTCAGTTCAATACTTTTGGAGTGGCTTCACCTCAAAGAAGTTCTCTTACTAAGTATTTGGATGTACCTGGACCAGGACCCAGTGTTGGGGTGGTCAATCGACACCCCTCTACTTCTAAGGAGCTATTTATCGACACCCTTTTAGGTTTGCAGCGCCAAAAGCAACCGAGAGACCTTCCTCCAGGGGGAGCTGCAACAACCTCAAGGTGCATCCGGTGCAGCGGCTTTCGGCGCAGAAACCAGGGTGCACCTGTGGAACTGAGAACCTCATTGCAGACAACAGTATACAACAGTATATTGCAATGGTATACTTCTAGGAGTACATGGAGTGTATGAGAACCATGGCAGACACTCCATGGCACCATGGCAGACACAGTATACAACAGTCTCATGGAGTGTATGAGTACCATGGCACCATGGGACTGGTGTATTTGCACACAGGAAACAGGGGCGGTTGAAGGGTTTCTAAATTTGGGGAACAAGTCGAGTCTGGGCATGGCAACCATGGGCCGGTGTGATACACGTCCAACGTTCGTACGTTCGAAAAAGCTCGCCATAGACGAAGAGAGACGACTGGTGGCAATAGTTGCTGCGTGTTTACTAGAGTTTGGACCAGGAGGAACCAATTTTGCATCCCAAAGCAGTCATCACTGGTGAGACTTGTTCCTGGTGATGTTGTTGTACAATGTTGTACATTGACATATATAGTAAATTGAAAGGTAACCGAATAATGATGAGATCCCCCTGGGTGTTCATTGATATTCCGTTTCAACACTTTTTCGTCTCTTTCTATTGTCAGGTACCTACAAACAGCGTTTGGTGCATACGGCTCCGCTATCGCCCTGCGGAGGTGCCGAGGTCTTCCTCACTCCGCAGGTGCCGAGTGAATGCGCTACGCAGGTGCCCACCGGACCGGCGATTGGTGACCCACACGTTAACCACTTGGGGTTAACCACTTCAATGTAGGTCAAACATGGTCAATATTCCATTTAGCCTGGCACCAGCATCCTCACTGCCGCCAATTGAGTGCTGCAACAGGGCCCCATCCTCCTTCGGAGGTCTCCACCTGTTTCTGCTTGGAGTGATGCTCTTATGGTGTGATGCTTGGAGTTCAGACGATCAATTCCCTGAGTCATCGACGCGCCACGCTGCACCAGGCACAGCCCAGCGCCCCGCCAACGGTGTCGCCCGATGGGCGCCCAGGAGCAGCTCAGGGCGGCCGTGAACGCCACTGAGCAGTTGATTTTCAATACAGGGGACCACCAGAGGAGTGTTCTCCCGTTTTAGTCGGAAACGTGTTTTAGTTGGTATTTGGGGACTTTGAGAGGGGAGCAGGGTCGAATGTTGTCTTCCCCAGTGCAGGACACCTTGAAGACCATCAGGCTGCTGGGTTTGAACTCTGAGGATGGGTTTGTCGGTTTGTGGGATTCCGGGTGCTTGGCTGTTTGGTGGGGGCAGAAAGAAGATGAAAGAAGCAATTCCATGCAATTCCTTGTTTTCATGTCCTACTGCATGTCCATGTTTTTTGTAGGGTTGTGCCACTCGTGGTCCTCAGACTTCCCGAGGGTTGTCCTTCGTGGTCGAGACGTCTGGCAGGGACTGCACATGCTTCGGATGAGACCTGTGAGGGCGGGGAGTTTGGCACAGGAAACCCACGTTGGTCCGACAACCGATGACCTATGGAGACGGAGACGGTGGATTTTGTTGGGTCACACGTGACGTAATATCTCTTCCAAGCATCAGGATGGATCTCAGACAACATCGTATGATCATGATTCATGATGCAAATGTTAAAATTATGAGATTTGTGATCGGGAAGTAGTCAAGACTTCGGTGAGTATTGAATAGCCATGACGTACACTCGTGTAGGGAAGGTTCTTTATATACTCGATGCCGAAGCGAAGGGCCTATGGGCCTGTGGGCCTGGAGGGCCTATGGGATGGGAAGCAATTGAGTTCACGACCTGTCTGACCGACTCAGTTTGACCAGGTTTTTGTTGAAGACATGGTAGCGAAGAAAAGGGTCAAAGAGACGACGTGCCTTCTCGGACAGCCAACTTGGCTGGGCCGACATGGATTCTCTTCCGGAGCACCATTTTGTCGCGTGACCATCCTGGCTCCGGACTGTTTAGCTCTTTGGCATAGCCTAGCTAGTGAAGGTACTCGAATGGCCTCATGTTGTAGACCGTTATTTTCACACCACGGCCATTTCTTTTGGATTTGGATCAGATGTGCGTGTGGTACCTGTTTCTTTCTGCAAGATAGACCTACAAAAGCCAATTTCTACACGTTGCATCCAATTCCAGTTACAATGTATGACTCAATAAGCAATCACAAGCGAGTAACAGATCAGAAGAAGGTCGTGTAACCTGCAAACGAATTGTTTCCTGCAATCAAGAACTGATCTTCCAGGAGAAAGACACAATCACACAATACCAAGTTGTGCCGGAAAACAGGACATCGTGATCTCAAGGTTTTTTTGCAAGCATATGCCATATGCAACTCATTCAGCACGTTGCCACCATGCCAACCCTGCTGGTGGATGAAAAATCAGCGTGACCCACCCTGAGGATCCCCGTTTGAGGCCGGTGAGGCCGACCCTTTCGGATCCGGCGTTTGTCCGCCATGGACTCGATGAGCGTCCATGGGATTCATGCGATCTTGGCCACCTGGTTTGTGGTCGTCTTCTTCCATCACCTGCATGCCCCTTGGAGGCCTTTGTGGTTGTTTTCTTCCAGGAGGCCCAGCATGGCCCAGCAATGCCCAGCAGCTCCACAAACTGACCAGCACAGTTGTGGGGAAGAACCCGTGATGACGGAAAGCTGCCTAATTTATTGTGCTTCCTCTTTCTTGAGATTTCTTTCGGACACCGCATCAACATGCGACAACCATCCCTGACACTCCATGTATACCTGGACACTCATTCAGGCTCAAATTTCTGCCTGTTCAAGAAAATCTGCTTGAACCAGGGTTTGTCCTTAAAAACAGCCTGCGGGCAGAAATCCTTCTTCGGGCAGATGCTGCAAATTACTTGCAAAGCACCTAAGTTGCAAATCTGCAGTTTTGAAGCAATGTTCGACATTTCAATTCGGGCCAGAATCGGCGTGATTTGGGCGTGAATTTTTGTGATCGGGCGAGAATTTGTGTGATCGGGTGGATTTCGTAGACTCAAGTTGCATTGCATGTATTCATCACTCGCAGAATATATAATGAGCAAAAACACATTCGGGCGAGAATTCCAGGGTCGGGCGTGAAAACCATGTTCGGGCAGAAATACTGCCTGAATGGATTCGGGCTGGAATTCTAGCCTGGACGAGTTCCTAGGTATATCCTTTTTGTACGAATTGGAATGGTTGACCCGGGATCTTTCTGTAGGCATCGGCGACGCTGTCTGGGCATGTCGGATCGTTTGGAGATCAGTCCCTGGGGGAGTCGGCGGCACGTCGGGCGGGTGAACCACTCCGCACCCGCGGCGAAAAAGGGCGCCGACTTCGGAGCTTTGATGAGGGAAGAGTCCACATGGGGAGGGCGATGAGATGCAGGTGGGACGCCATGGAGGATGTGCCCAGCCTTCTCCAGACCCACTGGATATGACTGGATTCTGTTCGAAGGATGTTTCTATAGGTTTTGAGGGGGCATGAAATGATCACCCTAGTTCGAGATAGTCCTTTCTTGGGTTTTCACTGGCTTGAAGACGTTTTTGATCCATTTTGATCTCTTCCCTGCACCGGATTTTTGGGTCGCGTTCATGGCGCCCTTGGCCGCCGCCCTGACAACTTGGCGACTTCGATTCTTCGCTTGGCTTGCTAAGACCAAGAAGGAGGACATCCTCTTCATGTTCGATCGACTCCAAGAAAACTTTCGATGTTTCTTGGGACATTGGATCGTCTCCAAGAAGTTGGACGGAAGCGACGCGGACATGTCCTCGCCGATGGAGAGCATGAAACGAAAGCTCCTGGAGGAGGAGATGTGCTTTGGCAGGAAGAGGGCACAGATGGGCGGCGGCGAAAGCGGGCGGAGTCGTTGTTTTGACAGCTGAAAGTGGGTCACCCCCGAAGCACTCATATGGTGACCATGTTTGGAGTTGGCAGCAAGGTCAGCGATGGTTTGCAAAGGCTCCTTGTAGGTTCCTTGGAGACTGGAGATCATGGCCAGCGGCTTTGTCTTGCCCAACTGGTGGGTTTTGGTGTAATTTCCCCGCTCAATACTGGTGGGGCGCACAGACTTCCACCCACAGATGGCACTGGACCCCGTGGACAACCGCGCGCCGTGGACCCTCAGGAATAGCATTCGGATTGCGCCGCTTGTCTATCATTTTCGAGGCTTCAGAGGCTGGAAGGCGTAACGGAACGACGCCGGCATTGGTGAGCAATGCCGGCAACGATACTTATTGGTCACAAACCCAAAAAGCAAACAGAAAAGGGCAGCCGATTGCATTGTTGGCTCTATCGAAGGGAGTTTCGGCGACCAAACAAAGAAGATCTTGAGGTGCAGGTCTTGCTTTAGCCGATTTTTGAGGTCGAGGTCTTGCTTTATCCTCTTTTGCCCGTTCGCGGATCGGGCGTGCAGAGATCCCCTGCCCAGGAACTTTGCCGTAGTTGCGAAGCCATTCCTGCACATCACCTGGTTCTCCATCCTGGGTCAGATTATTCGAGCAGCTTACCAATTGAACAGTCTCCACTACATGTGGGTTGCGACGTGCACCTTGACCTATGCGGTCTCTTTGTTAGCAAGCCAGGACACCGGCAGAGGGGTGGTTTGACTCCAACCTTAAGAATCTGAAAAAAAAAAAAAGACTGCTGTGGCCTCCCAAAACCACCCTAATGTGGGAGTCCTGGAGTAATAGTTGTGACTATGTTGTGACCTTTTTTCTCGTTGGACGCACATCAGGCTGCGTTCCGCGGAACGCGAAGCGGAACGCGTGTCGCAGGTCTTATGGGAAGCGGAGCATCGCCCTTTCACCCCTGATCGCAGTCGATATGTGTGCATTTTCCTCCACTTTGCCGTCATTTTCGGTGCCTGGGAAAAGCACCGAGTTTTCGGGAGGGATCAGACGAAAACTATCACAACTGAAGCATGATGTTGATGTTGCAGGGAGCGAAAGTGTTGCAGTGGGGAGTAATGGTACAATATAATGCCGAGTTGATCTAGCAGACTCACTTATATATATTGTAGTTTGTTTGTGTCATTGTGTGTTTTAAACATGATCAATTGGGTGCCAAGGTTTCTTAGCTCTGAAAACTCTGTTTGATCTACTGCAATGGAGGTAGCCAACTTTAAGAACCCATGCATAGAGCTCTAGGGACACAAAAGTCGGTCCTTTGCAATCATTGAGATGCTGAACTGCACAGAATAAGTAGCAATGAGGTGATGGTGAGGCAATCATAGCAATTATATATGTAGAGGCACATCGCTAGTATGTTAGAGATTGCTAGTAGGTTGGAGGCCATTGCTAGTAGGTTGGAGGCCAGTGCTAGTAGGTTGGAGGCCATTGCTCCTAGCTTGAAGGCCATTGCTTCTAGGTTGGAGGCAATCATAGCAACAAAAAGTAGAGGCACAAAAGTTCCAATGCTTAAGAGACCAGGACGCCCCTGTTTCGGACTGTTTCGGGCTCGTAGGCAAACTCCAACGTTGCCATGTCGAAGGTTGGGTTGCAAACACAGGCAGGAAAAACAACAACTATATATGGTTCCTATGTCATCCTATGTCGATTTGTGTTAAACAATGTTGATTTTGTTCCGTTCCTATTGCTCGGATGTGGATGTGGGGTCCACATATCTCAGGCAACATGGCCTGCTTTGCTGAAGACTGGGACAAGATGATTTGTTCCCTGTCCGACCGTTGCTGCCCCGTTGTGTCACAACCGAACGGGTGGGCAGCAAACCAAAACAGAGTCCACTTCTTCAGAGTTGGCAGGTCAGAGTGGGAATATAGATGGGGATTGATTCAGAATTGAACCCTGCAGTAGGTCAAAAACCTCATTTTACTGGAGTTGATCATTCAATAACAGAACTCAATGAGGTCGAGGACCAGGTTTTGGACCTGTGGGGAAAGGGGCTAGAGGCTCATGACTCAGAATCGTAGACATGGAAGGTCGCAGGGTCGGATCGCGTTTACTTTAAGCCCCCATGGTAGGTTGAACTAGGTTGTGGGTGCTTGAAGTCCATGGACAATGGCACTGACTGATCTGCTAGCCTAGACTTCCGCACTTCCGCTGTTGGACTGACTTTTGCTGGCCACCCAAGAGGACCACTGCCTGCCGATCCTACACGGCCTGCCGCGTGCTATAGGTACACATGCAGCGCACGTCCTTTTTCACCTGAATTTGGCCACCATCATGTCGGATCTTTGGTCCTCGATCCCTTTGTCCTTGTGCTTTTGCGCTAGCACCGTCCTTTGCTACATCTCTGTCTACGGCTGGGCCAGCATCTCCAACGAGTTTATGATGACGCTTGGAGAGCAGCACGGCGCGCTGGAAGTGAGCGCGTGGGGGGGGGCTCGCGGGGTGTGCTCGTTCGACCCAAGACTCGACACATCGAGACGGCGACATCGAATGCATCGGACTGACTGTCGTGCACCAGACAAGAAGTCGTACAAGCACGGAAAACGATGGGGAACATGCCAAGCACCCAGAAGCGAGGCTCCAGCCGTAGGCGTAACAGACGACCCAAGATGTGCCGAGTTTTCTGCTAAGTAGGAGCAAGAAGCAGCTACTAGTAACAAGGGCATCGCTACTAGGAACAAGTGCATCGCTACTAGTAGCAAAGTTTACTAAATTTCCTGAAGCATCCTTTGTAGCACTTATTTCTGGCGAACCATGGTTTGGAGCACTTATTGGAAGTTTGAGCGTTAATTGAGGGTATGTACACTTTTCAGGACATATGAGCGCTTTTTGGTGATGTAAATTCTAAAAAGCCTACTGGTTCCTGACCAGTGTCCTTATCAACCCTTGTGGGCCTTTGGGGGCCCTATGGACCGGGTGGAAATCCTATATGACCTCTCCTAATAGTAGTATGTGCAAATGAAACCACAAAGGTTTGGTTCCAACCTTCTGGGCGTGCTTTACAACAATTTTTCCAAAAAGGGTGCCCGCAACTTGGGCGCAAATTCCCGCAACCCGGGCGCAAATTCCCGCAACCCGGGCGCAATTTTAAAAAGTGGCGGATTGTTATTTTACATATTTTATGTTGATACTGATGATCAAAGAAAGGGGTTGCTGGCTGCCGCTTCGTAGTGTGTGAGCGTGTGTTGTGTGTGCATGGGACGGGTGCCAGCATGTGGCAGGGGAATGGACTTGAAGACCACATAACATAAGGTGGAATGAAGCTACATTTGACTTTCCAGTGGTACGCTTTTTCAAGGCATGAGCACTTTTTTTGATGATGTGCAGTTTTTTTTTTCTGTCACTTTTTTCTGCTACGACGGAGGGTTCAGGTTATGTAAAGAAACATCGGAATAATGTCTACCAGCTCCCTTCCGGTGTGGGTCACCGACACCCCCCGGCACTACGATGTGGTTTGGTCTCCATTGGATACCCACCTCTCAGAATGGTCCACTGAAAAGGGCCACTTCATGTCACTGAGACTGGATTGAATAATTGTGCTGTGCTTGTGGTGCGAAACGCCGTGGTGGTTTAAACAGCACTCATTGACTCATGGCTCAGTCTCTGTGTATAGTGAATTGCAGAAGCTCATTGAGAATCAAAAGTATTTTGGGGGCAGAAGGCTTAGAACTTAGAGGACGCACAAAGAGCCTTGGAATATCTTTGAATGGCATGTGCTGCTCTTCTCAATGGGCAATCAATGAACCTGTTTTGTGAGGTATGGGCCGGTATGATCCGGTATGGGTCTTGCTCAAAACAAAACGGCACTTCAGTCAACAGCATCATATGGCAGCAATCGGCAGCAAACATCGCCAAGTCCACCTGCTTCCATCCCCTGTGTATATATGCGCACACGACGAATCTCGCGGTTTCTGGGGAGACGATCCGAAAGACGATCCGAAAAGACGATCCGAAAAGACGATCCTGGATGGGTGTTCAAGGCTTCAGTTTTTCCAACTGGTGGCGTTCATGGTGATCCCCGGCCTCATCCAGGCACACCGAGACCGATCCGGGCGATCCCGGGCGGAGCCGGCTCCGGGTTTTGTTTGGGGGTCCCGTCAGTGCCGAACAAACACATGGCCAGTTGAAGTGGCAAGATGAACACACCCATGAGTTAGGATTACTATATAGAGGTATGATGCACCTTGCTGAGATGCCATGACGAAGACCATCGAGATGTACGAAAAACGAAGACCATCGGTTCTGCGATGTTCCATGAGTGTGAGGTGAGTGAGGTGACGTCGGTGACCCGCTTTGTTATGATAAGAACGCGGCAGAATCGGCAAGCCCTCCAGACTTGGGGTCGATTTACCAAGCAAGTCTGGCAGTGGCAAATGGCATTGGTCCAACAGAATTTGAAAACCGTCGAGACAGGCCGTGCGTCGACGGTCGGCAAACACATCCGATGCAGTCACGACGATCCGATGCAGTCACGATGTGGCTTAGGTGAGTAAGTCATAGTAAGTCTATAGATGCTGACCGATTTGGGGAATGCGTTGCCGATATCGGTTTTTCTCATTAATCATACATTTGGAGAGACCAAAGTTCAGGTGCCTCATGAGTATAACTCGGACGAGGCACAACTGCAGCCAGCACAAAAAGGGATATTATGCCAAAAGCAGCGAACATGCAATAGCCCAATACTTGGACTATACAATGGATGAAGAATGATGAAGATATGCCAAGACATAAATACTACTGGCCCATCTTCCTTATAAAGTTCGATTACTTGGGAGTTTAATTGGGTGTTCATTGCAATGTTTTATTGACCCGTCATTTTCGGGGTTATGTTCTGTTTTCCAAGGTCATTTGGAAGGTCCAGGTAGTCGTGGAGAATCTTTGTGTATGCGTCAAACCTTGGACTGAATGGATCAACTACCAGAGCATCAGACATGAGATTCCTTTCTGATGAGGAAGGTGGTTTGGAGATCTGTGCGGATGCGGTCCAACCAAATCCCGGACCAAGTGACGACTTTTTCCATTGGAAGAGATTGTATCATGCGTGGTACTGTGGTACTCCAAGACTTATTGCAGTACCCAGTACCCAGCAAACAGCCGGTAACATGCACCTTCCACTTGTCAAGTCTCTCCACTTCACACGACCCATGCAACGTCGACCAGGCGATGGCCCAACAACGGATCGACATGGCCTTGCCACTTTGTAAGATATCATGGGAAACCAGATTATTTGCCCTATAGGCTTCCGACCACCGATTTCATGGGGGTTCTCGAACAACATCGAACAACATAGTGTTGACACGAAGGATGTTAGACAAAGTCATGGTCAACCTTTCTCGTTTCATGGTCGAACGGACACATCATTCGGATGGGCCAGAAGCCCGTACATTCGCCCAGCCATCAACCCACGGGACTGGCACACCGGGGTTTCTTCAGACAGGCATGTGTTCTTCGGACAGGACGGCAGTTCTGAAGGATTCCTTTTGGTGGATTTGTGCATTGATGGTTCTAAAAGCCCTGCAACATCCTGCAACAAACCATGTGACGAAGTTCTTTGACGAAGCAAACGCGGAGAGCATTTGTTCGACCGACGAGCATTTGCAGTCCACATTGAACACCCCGCCTGGGAGTCTGGGAGTCATGTCATAACCATCCGTTGCCAGTGCATTGTGTTCAAGAACTGTTTAAGGGTCAAAGCTGCGCATAGCAGAGCATGATACCCGGCCTTCAGAATTGGAGATCCTTTGATCGGCCACTGCCACTTGTAGCGGGTGCCGCAAGAGACCCTTCGACCCTTGGCCTCTCAAGCCCCAGTTGCAGTATTTGACCGGGGTCTAGATAGCTTCAGGCTGGCGACACAAGTGTGGCACAACCCTGTAAGTCCCGGCGACAATGACCTTGCGACAAGGATGTTGTCTTGGAACCAGCTCATTCGTTCCCGCCTGTGCACGAGTTGGAACGCAAAGAGTATAGATCCAACCACATCCCACAAACCTTCGTTGAGCTCTTCGATCACCCGGTCGATCACCATGTTTTTCAAGGTCTGGAATAGGCTCGACCGGGATCCTCCGGAGTGGCGGCGAGTCAAGGCAGTCGAAGGGCGACAATTTGATGATCACGGGGTTCCGCCGTGTCATCAAAGGTCTTTGCTGCTTGGAGAGAAGATGTGTGGTACCCAATGACTGGCGGAGTATGTCACGCACAGCTCGAGGTACTGGAAGGAGTATTCCATTCGTTGCTTCGAACCCCGGTTCGATGCAGTGTGCCTGCACGGTGCAGTGGCAGATCAGGTTTCCTGCTTCCAGCTTCAAGACTTCAATCATCTATAGATCTACACAAACACCCCATTTGGGTTCCATTCCGTGATTGTGTTATATATACAGAAAGGTATTCCACCCCATTTAGTCACTGATTTGGGTTCCATTCCGTTTCCGTTTCCATCACGTGATCGCGCCATGCGTGGCGTGGGGAGTCGCTGATTCGCCGCTCGCGGATGAAGCCCGTGTTTCCAAAAGCTCGCAGAGCATCCATGGGATTGGCAGAGTTACATGGTACATGACATGCAGCTATTGAAATATGAAGTCATCCAGACCCTATGGTCGTACCCAAATTTAATCCCATTTCATGTATAGACGATGGTGATGATGATTAATATATAAGATGATGATGTATCCCCCATCACTACGTCTTCCACACGTGACCGCAATGGTCGACGGGTACGGGACGGGACCCGTCCGAGGTGACGGTGATTTGCTCTTGGACAGCGACTTCCGTGTCTGCGGCAGTGCCACCTGCCTTCAACGACTACTCGGCACTCAGGCTGAAGCTCGGCGAGAAGAAAGACTTGGGGGCCCCAGTCTCAACCCATGGGAGTGGCATGTACACACTGGTGGTTTCAGGGGTACTACACCGGGTATAGTATATATTATATATAATATACATGTTACATGGACTCTTCGGGGGCTAGATAGGTCTTCTAGCTGCGTGGGAACATACTGTCAAGTCTTTGGGAACTTCACTTTCTTGGAGGGTCTTGAAGCAGTCTTGGGAGGGAAACTGGACACTACATCAATCAGTGCCTGAGTGCCAATGGCTTTGAACTGCACGGTTGCACCGGTTACACCTTCTGCCACTTTGGTCCTGATAACGAGGGAAGACTTCCTATAATGCATCCCTCTCAAATCTAATCTAATGATCTGGTTGTGTTTTGTGTTGTGGTGGGGTCTTGTTGGAAGGGTAATCAAAACACATAATTGTTCTTTGAGATGATCCCAAGATTGCATCAACTCCAGAAAAGGAGGAGTTGGATGCAGAGAAAGAGGCTTGGGATTTTTGTGTTCAAACTGCCATCACCAGCCCAAGCTGAGGAATTTGTAGGTTTGCCTTTGTGCGATTGGATGGAAGCGGAGAGCCCCTTGGAGTAGCAGGTCTCCATCGGAAAAAGACGAACCCAGAAGGCCTTGCCCGGCCTTGGCCAATTCCAGGAACCGTTTCAGTTCGTGACCCCTTTGGAGTCTGAAACGGTGACCGTCCTACTCCACGAGTTGGGTTCTTCCACGAGAGGAGTTGTTACCGTCTACCCACGAGAAGGGTTACCGTCTACCACGAGCACCTCAACCAGGAGTCTGTCTTTAATGACCCCATTTGTTGGGACGTCCGTTTGGGACTGGTCTCGTCGCTTGTGAGCGGTCCAGGTGTGCGTTCGTCACTTCAACTGGGTGAGCGCGTTTGGAGCGCACGCAGCGCATCACCGAACGAGCTGGTGTGCGCCCCCAAAACGAGTCATCGAGGCCGTCATTGAACTCTTCATCCAACCGATTCGTCGATTTGTTCCGAAAGACTGTGTTCCATGGAGTTCCGAGACGGTTTTTCCTTCGGATGGTCTGAAGGTCGGTGCTGCACCAGGTCGACATGCCACACATCAACTCACTGAAAGACCTATAGAGAAGATAACCCAGTGACCACCCCTTGGAACTGGGACGACGTGGTTTGATGTGGTTTGATGACAATGCCTTCTTGTCGTCTTGCCCGATCGACCGGCGCCCGAACCGCCCGATCGACCGGACCCGTCTCGTCATCGTCACTCCGGTCGGGTCACTCCGCGGCCGTCACTTCGGCCGAGGCCAACAGCCGTTTGTGGACTTCATTGCGGCGTCCTCGGCCGAAGGCCACGATGCCTCGGCTCCACGGTGCCTGCGAGTCGCCTTCAAGGCCGCAACAAACGGCAAACGGATCCCACGGACGGTGCCGTGGTTTGAGAAGTGGTTTAGCGGATGGCCCTGCCTCCTTATATATATTTTCAGCAAGGAGGTGCGCTCCTAGCTAGGACGCAGGATAGCTCACGCTTCCATTATATCTTCTATTATAATATTTTCATGCGGTTCCTAGATGTTTAGGAGAAAAAAGACATGGATGCCGTGGAAGGTTCATATTCCATGCCATGGTATATAACATGCTTAGTCTGCGTGGAGACCGTGAGAAATGTTTGCTTTTCATGTTCTTTCATGGTCATGGTATGGGAATATCATGAATATGTGCGGTGTATGTGTGTGTGTGTGTTTGTCTCCTGGGGTGCAAGTGTAGTGTTGGTCTAGATGTTCAATTCAACCTCAAATGCTGGAGAGAGAAAAACAAACATATATCCCGACCGTGATATGTTGTTATTGTCGTTGTTGTCGTCGTTTTTTGTTTGTTGCTTTTTGATTATCTCATCAATCCAATATCCTATCAATCTAATCTAGCGTGTTGCTTGGAATAAACTCTACACGAAGCCACGCCATGAAACTCTTTGTTCACATCAAGTCTGAGCCTTGATCCATCCATATCCCTCGAGCTGTTGACATGGTTTTGCCTCTATCAGAGATGCCCCGAGAGAGTCTCGTGAGTCGAACTCGTGATTCGAGCGGTTTGGAGTGCTTCGGATGGGCTAGGATGGCGGAGTCATGTGTTTACAAGTGTTGCTTCGGACTCTTCGTGCTACACGTTGTTGCGTCGCACTCCTCGCAGGCGGGGGAGGGTGCCTCTGTCTCTGTCGATGCTTGGCGAGGGAGACCACGGTAGGAGACCGGTCAAAGCGTCCAAACCGAGGTCGTGCGATGTCCGCCGTCGCCGGCAGGGACTCATCTTCCTCATTCTTCCGTAAGTGGCCGGATGGTAGGAGTCAGCTCTTTTTCACACGGCTCAGACACTAGTAGTGAAGTGGTTTGACCATCAGTTGATATCAGTTTTATTCTGAAACATATCGATTGGAATCGAAAAGAACACATTGGACAGAGAAGACGTACCGTGTCTATTGACGTTCCCGTTTTCTGGCTTGGGACCGAGCTCTTTTTGGACGGTTTTCATGGGCTGTCCGTGCCGATGAGTGGCTGGATGAGGTAGCTGCCTGGATTTGCAGCGGAATGCCTACTCACTCAAATTATGGAGCACACACTTCAGGCACAAAATGGCCATGGATAGTGGATTGGTGGAGATTTCGTTGTGGTGGTTACTGGGGTCAGATGACTCTCGGTTCACATGCAGTGCATGAAACAGCATCTCTCACCCCATCCTGATCCTCCTGTCTCCGGCTCCTAGGACCTTTTCCATGTGGCCATCCCAGACCTCCAGGCCGACGGGTGGACACGGCTGTGGAAGTGGAACAGCGCGCTCGACCCGGATGGCGCCAGGTGCCTGGTGGCAAGCATCACCTGTTGGCCTTGGCGGAAGATGCCCGACCCTTGCCCGACGCGGAGGTGGAGGCCGCGACTTTCCGAGAACACAGACATCGCGCACGGGGAGCAACACCGTGTCAGAAGAAGAACAAACAAACAGGTCCGGTGAGCTTGGTCAGTGGAACAGAGGAAAGCGAAACATGCATAGGGATGAATGGGGTGTATAAATTGTTGGGGAATCCCTGTTGTGGCTTTTCATGAATGGCAAAGTTTAGTGGCGTTTGCCTGGTTAGCACCTATGAGTGAGCCCAGTTTGCTCGGTGGAACAAGCAGCCCCGACCACAAAAGTAAAGGCTCAAGGAAGTACGATGGGCCAACGATCCCTAGTGAGGTGAGCTCCACGTATCGCTCATGCAGCCGATGTCCACATATCCAGTCCAGAGTGGCAAGTTGAGTTGTTCGGGCAATTTGCTGACCGTCGTCGTCATCATCATCATCATCCTCATGTGGGAAGAGTGCAAAGGGAAATGCATGGGTTTCTACACTACAAGCGCAAAAAAGGCGACAAGCCTGGCAACATCATCCTCATGGAGACACAGTCACAATTGAGCAACTTCAAAAACCTCTATGATGAAAAATATGAAAAGTGTACAAACTGTAAATTACATGCTTTCGTGAAAGCCAAAACGCAGGTCGCGAAAGGTTTGTGAAAGCCCCGCGAAAGTCCCCTAGAAGAACTAGTGTCGCGAAAGCTTTCGCGAAAGTCAATTTCTTGTACATGTCATGTTTTGTTTATGTAGGGGACCATGTCTTTTTTGTATATGGACATGCCATGCTTGAAACAGTTGGTTTGGCTATGTTTGAGGCTTGGCTTCTTTGGGGCACTGAAGAGTAAGTGTTTCATATCTAATGTTTGGGAGCTGTGGTTGTTCCTCCTGTGGTGGATGGGGTATTTGGAGTGTTAGGCCATGTTAGGCCCAACTTGACCCAACCAGCTACCAGCCTGCACATGGGCCATCCATTTTTTGGCCCGGCAGGATTGCCCAGCTTCACAACGCTCCGGGCTGGAGCGGCCCGCCAGAGATGAAGCAGGTGCACTCTTGAGGATGCATGACCTGGTGTCCAACGCCACACCTCATGGCTTTTGGAAAGAGTTGACCGCCAGTTTGACCACATATTAGGAAAATATAGTAAAATAATTGAAAGAAAAGCGGCTGTGCAAGTCACGGATCTAACTAATGTCCTATAGCCTATAGTCATAATTACAGTACTAGAGTCATCCATAGTCCATGTTCTTGAGGTTGGTGAGCTGAATTGGAATTGCACACTCCCTCAAAACGTTTTGAGTTAAAGAACCTTGAGGGCTTGGCATTCCAAGAGAACCTTGATCCCAACAGGTCTTTAGTGAATCATGCTCGGAAAATGTCAACAACTTTTCTGAGACCTAGGCGAAACTGGCATTGTTTGCCCAATGTCAATGTGCAAGGCAACAATTGCCTGTTAATGAGCAATTGAAACGTTGTATTGTTGTTTTTTGGGGTATCCTCTCCAAGCCTGGTCTGAACAGAATTGAATAAAATTGAATAACGATAAGCTCAAAAGCTAGGTTGAGGGGGTGTTTGAATCAGAATTCACTGTACACACAGCGTTATTGCTGCATTGTTGCACACAAATTATCTCGCAAGAGCAATCGGGTCATCTACTGTAAACAAAACGATGTGCACCAGATTGTTAATCCACACATTCTTTGTCCCAGTAGAACTAGCTCATGACTCATTAGGGAGACGACGACCTCGCTGCATCAACAGGTTCTTTATTGCTTGGGTCCTTATGTTAGATTGGCAAGGTATTATAACTATATACATATATTGACTGCATGCGATTTGACATGCGTAAGACATGTGTAACAACCCAGCAAGTGGATGCTGACAGACATACGGAAGATATGTGCAAACCAACAGCAAGCAGCTGCAGGAGGAAACTGAGAACCAATGCTAGGCTCATCATTGCTTGCTTCGTTTTCAGGCGACTTGGCCGCTTCGCTGACCAGCGTCTCCGCCGATTGCATCCAAGCATTTAAGGCCTCCAGAGTTTTGCTCAGATCCTGATAGGATATCAGTAATCCATGTTTTGCCCAGGTTGGAACGGAAACAAAAACGAACCACTTGCACCATCAGCTGTTGTTCTGTTTCTTTATGGAAAGGACACCCTTTGCTTCAGATACCGCCACTGTTATGGCGGATGATGTTCTCACTGTTCTGGGAACGCCTGGACCAGTTAAACAGTTACACATGGCAACAGAAAGTGCATGTTGGCTGCAGACTTGTAACGGAGATGCTGGAGAATCTCGGTTGACAATCGCACAACCCTTTTCACGTGTTGCACCAGCAAGAGGATGCCCTTACGGACGATGAGAGACTCAGGTGGATCAAGAGTAGCATCTACTAGCATCTACCGATTCGTGCTGATTCATGTCTCATCTCTTGTATACAAAGGATCTTTGTACGATGTTGGATCTCACTTTGTCTCATCTCTGTATGTTCTTGGACCTGCAGGACTTGTTACCTCTTTGAAGTCTCTGTGTGTGACTTTTTCAGGGTCTGTTTGTGACCTGATCAATCTCGACGACTGACTGAAGCTCCTGGCTGTTTGACTGCTGCCAGCTCTCCGGTTTGTTCGACCTGTGCCTATTGAACACCAGCGTCGACACGCTCCTTCAGCTCCTTCAGCTTGTCACTTCTCGCTGAAGTTGTCAGGAGCTGGTGGAACTTAATCTGTTTCTGGATCCCTACCAACATGGCCGTGAAGACGATTCCTTGTTGGATGATGCTTGGAGACGGGCAAGATGACATGTTTTTTGGACATGACAAAACTGAGTAAAGCCAGGGTCCAATTTGGAGTTTTGTGACCGGATGTTGATTGCCTAGTGGATTAAATCATGTGATGCTGGGCATTGCGCAGGTTGTAGGCGACAAAGGATGCACATGTGCCCCAGTGCTCACCAGTAAGTTCAGTGCCCATTGAGTGTGTATTAGAATAGGGAGACCCCTGGAAGACGGAACATAAACCACAACCCATTGGTGGTTGGTTTCCCTATTTAAACACACTCTGACAATTGTATTCAGTTACACTCAATTCCCAGGTCGAAAATGGTGAGGGAACGGCAAGGTGGAGAGTCCGCAAATGTGTAGATGTTTTAACAAAAGAGTTTGTCACGTGACTGCGGTGGCGTGCTGCAAAACCCTCGGCGGCTGCAAGTGGCTGAAGGACCAAGGTTTGAGGGGCAGTAGCGTGAAGAAGGACCATGAAAACAACGAACAGCGGCAGGGCGGACCATTGGAGTCAGTGTGTTGAAAGCAGGTACAGGAAGGTGATCAGCCTTCCCTTCCCATCCATGACCGCAGCTTCGTTGCACACGGTAGGTCATGGATGCCGTGTGCCCCTGCTTTGAAAAGGTGGTGACGGTAACGATGGCAGTAAACCCTTTGGCACAGGGGGTGACACACACACGGTGCCGCTTCGCGGCGCGCATGTGAAAAACCTAAATAGTCACCTAAAAAGCCTTAGAAACAAAAGAAAAGAAAGACAGAAAGAGCAGCGCTAAGAGGGCAAGAAAGAAAGATAGGTGTAGGAAAAATGAATACTTAGCCCTTGACTGGGGTAGGGAAACGAGCCTCAAGAACAACCCAAAAAGCCTGAGAGAAAGCCCAAAAAACGACCGAAGGCGTAAGAAGGAAAGCGGGGGGCAGGGAAGTGTATGTACATGTGTGTGTCTGTGTGTGTGTATGAATACTTAGCCCTCTAGAATTACTGATTACTTAGCAGGAATGAATTGCGTGCAATAGCTAGGGAGCGGGACTTTAGTCTTAGACCGCCCGGGTAGGAAAGACTAGAAAAGGAACAACACAGGGAAAGGCACCGACACACAAGTGTGTCGAGTACCATTTCCCTATGTTGCCCTAATTAGGTAGGGAGTAGAACTCAGCAGGGGGGGGGGTTGGGAAACCTGCCTCATTGGGGGGTTTTGCACCGCACCGTTTTATAGCCCGGCGGCTGTCTAAGTAATCCCGTTTTTTGGCCCGGCGGCCGTTGTGGCAGTTAATTCGGTGGATGTGGCAGTGACTTCCAGTGAAAGTCCTGTGAGAGGTGGTGAGGTCAGTTACTGCTTGCACGATGAGACAGCGCCCCAGTGACGGGGATCACACTCAGCACCCGAGTGGGACGGCTGAGCGAAACACACTCTGACAATTGTATTCAGTTACACTCACTTCCCAGGTCGAAAATGGTGAGGGAACGGCAAGGTGGAGAGTCCGCAAATGTGTAGATGTTTTAACAAAAGAGTTTGTCACGTGACTGCGGTGGCGTGCTGCAAAACCCTCGGCGGCTGCAAGTGGCTGAAGGACCAAGGTTTGAGGGGCAGTAGCGTAAAGAAGGACCATGAAAACAACGAACAGCGGCAGGGCGGACCATTGGAGTCAGTGTGTTGAAAGCAGGTACAGGAAGGTGATCAGCCTTCCCTTCCCATCCATGACCGCAGCTTCGTTGCACACGGTAGGTCATGGATGCCGTGTGCCCCTGCTTTGAAAAGGTGGTGACGGTAACGATGGCAGTAAACCCTTTGGCACAGGGGGTGACACACACACCCATTTGTTTGTTCGTAAGTTCTTTGATGCTTAGCCGGAGGCGAGTTGAGTCGGACTTGTTCGGCAAGTCTTCCACAGTTCCACAGTCGTGCAGGGACTGCGTGTGGGTCGTTCTGTTGTTGAACTCCAACCAGGAACGAAAGTCCAGAAGTCGAGAGATCTATATAAGGAACCTACTCGGGAAGAGATGTTGCGAATATGCTGAATGCTAAGTTCCCCCAAGCAAACACGGCAAACTTCACATCATGGAGCTAATAATTGGATTTATAGTGAATCTAAGATCGATCATAATTTATCTCCAGATGCTATAGGAACTTTGCGAACCTTGCTTATTGAGCAGTCTCAGATACTAAGTACTTTCAGACCCGGTCCGAAAAAAAGGCCTGATCTGAACAAAGGCCTGACCTCACTGAGCCCTTGGTGTTGGCCACACAGGTCCGAAAATGCACAGCAACTCCCTTCCACCTGGTGCAAATCCCCCTCTCCTCGGTGGCCGCTCTTCAGCGAGTGCTGGCATTGAACAGAACACTGGTATACTCCTTGGAATCATCATGGTTACGATGGCACGGCTCCGTAAGGATTACCATTTTTCGACGACAACGACAAACAGATACAGTTTTGCACTTCCATGATGATTCCAACATGTTTTTTTTGGTATACCGCACCAGTCGCAAGATCACCGTGCAGTGATTTGTTGGAATTCTCCCTGGAACCGGCCATTCTCATAGCTTACAAGCCTTCCCTAGACCATTCGAAGAACCGGCACCTCAACAGGCACCTTTGCCCAGTGCCCAGACGAGCACAGAAGACCAGCATCGAAGACCAGCACCGTGTCCCAAGTGAACAGCCGCACCAAAGAAGGAACTATTTGCACACCACCAAGAGCCGATCAGTGGGTGCCCTAAAAGTTCAGAGAGCGCAAGATGAAAACACCACCATGGGACCATGTGCTCGGTGGTAAAAGACGAATAGCTCGGTGCTCGGTGGAGAAAATAGTTCCTTCTTCTTTAATTGGCAACAAAAATCCTTCTTCCTTGTGTGGTCTAAAGGATCATTTGCCAAAAGTCTCCAAACCAATTCTTCTTCTTGGGCAGCCTCAAAACCGTCGCTTTTTTGGAACGCCTCGCGCACATCGGAGGATGTCTTGGAGGCGCACTTCAAATTCCAACGTCAGGAGACCACTCCGCACATCGGTCGAGGGATGCCCACTCTCAGGAGATGCTCGGCTCGGAGAGGTGCTTTGCTGCGCTTGACTCTGTTGGTTTTTCGTGTCGATCTGATCGACTCAACATACACAATATACTGTATATATATATATATATCGTACATATTATATGTTATACAATAACTATATTATATATGTTTGCATTTAACTGAAGTGTGTTTACCTCAATCTGTACAATTACACCAAGACTAAATCAAAACATGTTGACTTGAACAGATGTTTCTTGAACACAATGTTGGAAGGAAGAATATTGTGGAAGACTGAGGGTAGGACCTCCAGGATGGAAGCATCGGTCGCAGAAGCCGAGAAGCCTAGAAACCTCGAGCGGTCGAGCATGGTGGAGGCACGGCATTGGTAGACATGTGTGTACATGTGTTGTTTTTGTTCGGGAAAAAGGTTTCCTGGAAGATGGACATGCTGGGGTTGTTTCCCCCAGCCTCCTGAAGCAATCCCCAGGTCCCCTTCGTTTGAAGCACTGGGTAGAACAGGACGGGGGGGGCCCACCACTGCCAAGGCCAAAAGGAAGGATTGCCTGAGGGGGCGGGTCTGATGATGTGAACCATCCATGTAAGCATGTATGACTTCTTTTTTGTACCTACATTGAGGTGGTCTCAGAGGTGGTTTCATGTATGTAAGTATATGCCATACATAGATGGTTTGGGCATGACTTCACTGTTTGCGCATCTGAAGCGGTCTTCAGACTCTGAGGATTTGTTCATCCTAGAGACTGGGAGATGGTGGATCAATACTTGGAGCAGGACTGGGATGGGGTTGAGAGATGAGAGGCAGATCTTTGACCCAGCATCATAGCTTTTAAGCAGGATTGGGCTCTTTTGAGCAGACTGTTCGAAGTAAATGCTCTCGAACTGCTTTTGTTGGGATACCTTCTTGCACCCGCATATACATAACACTCATAACACCAAGAATGGTCCTTCGAGCACGGTCTTAACCAGCTAAATGGTTCCAGAGCAATTCTTCAGATTCTTTTGAGCGACTTGTGGGGTTTCTCACAGTCGTGTTCCTCACTGAAACTGGAACTCCCCCCCACACACAACAGAAAAACAAACAACTTGTGTTAATGTGATCCATGTATTGCATCACACGGCATGGAACTGCCTCCCCCCCTCCAACCACGGCACACAGCTGCTTGGAACTGGAAGTGTTCCAGCTACCCCGGGCACACTCCGGTTCTGGAAGGACCCTGCTATACCATCCCGGGAGACAAGCTTCGACTGGTCAAGCTGGTCTTATTCTTGTTGACTGATCACAGAAGCCAACGATCACCTTCCCCAAAAAACTGAAGATTTCTATGAAGCTATGTTGCTTTGTGCAGCTCCGTTCGCTTGCCAAACGTCCATTCTTGCCCACCCAACACGGGCTGCCAACACTGCCCAAGGGCGTCGCTGCTCCCTCCGCTGCGTCTCACGTCCAGGTGGTGTCGCGTGTCCGCACGAGTCCCACCGTGGAACGCTTCCCCGCCTTGGACCTGGGACCGCTCCTGCTGCGGCTGCCTGGAGAGGCGAAGTCCTACATCTATGCCAAGTGTGTTTGCTGGCCTGGTAATTATATATATATATGTATGGTGTTGGACGACTGTGGGGCCAAGAGTTATTATGGTTTGATGTTGGACCAAGAGTAATTATGGTGTGATGTTGGACCAAGAGTAATTATGGTGT